AAAAGAACTGTTGTATATAATACATATATGTTGTGCTCTCTTTAAGTGTCCTTGCTCAAATATGCTGGTTGTTGAGTTAGTCTGCATTATTGTTTAGATATTAGTCTTTTTTCATCATATAAGACGTTTTCCATCATAAAAACCTTTTTTTAAACAATATTTTATGAAAAAGCCTCTGTTACTGAATATTTAGTAGATATTGACCCGAATAAAGCAAGAAAGTTCTGACTTTACTTGTTGGGCATAAAAATGTTTCTACTTTTTAATATTTAATGAGAAACTGACTCATTTCCATCATTTATTGATTCAAATAATAAAGCCATAATACAAAAAAAGTAGAATTCTTAAATTAGCACACATTTTTTATATTTTAAGACAAATTTCCAAAGACTTTACGTATATATTTTGACGATATCTTCTGTATTTGTACTGGAGTTGGATTTTAAATGCAGTATTTTGATCTGAGGTTTCCCTGGAGTCTAAATGAGTTCCTCCTTCCTCCTCCAGGTCTGTTCTCCACTCCGCTCCTGGCTGGTCTCCCCGAGAAGGTGCGCTCCTTTCTCGCCCGCCAGGTGCCCTTCCCCTCGCGCCTGGGAGACCCCGCTGAGTTTGCCCACCTGGTGACATCCCTGGCTGAGAACCCCATGATCAACGGAGAGGTCATCAGACTGGACGGAGCCATTCGCATGCAGCCCTGAGCCTGACTGTGTGTGTGTGTGAGAGAGACGTCGATCATCTGATTAAGAGAAAATGTTTGTGTGTGTGGCTGTCTGGTCTAGTTATGTTGTAGAAAGCTGCATACAGTAAATATTCACTGTTATTGTGTGTGTGTGTGTGTGTGTGTGAACATTCAGAGCATTGCAGTACTGTATGGACTCCACTTTGGTTCTTTTGTAAACTAATCCAATTATAATAAACCTCATGAATGTTTGATTCTCTCCTCCAGTGGTGTTTTTTTTACCTTTTATGTGAATGTAGAAATATTGAGTCTCAAAGTTTCAGCGGTAGCAGCGTGCGTCTTCAACTTCCTTTTTGATTCAACCACCAAACACACATTTATATGACCTTCATGTTGGGACATTTGAGTCAGGTTTGGGGGATGATGGAGCAGCTACACACTGAGTTTTATTACTGATTCTTTAACAGGTAGTATTTATGTTACAGCTGGTGGAGGTGGAGAACATTTTAACTATAAATACTCAGCATTTAAATAAAGTTACCTCCCTAAAGAAGGAAGCGCCATCTTGGATCTGACTTGGACAGTTACCTTTAATCAGCTGAGATTATTTAACTGCTTTATATCGACATTAAATTAAAATGCTGCAGAGAAGTTCAGTTGTCCTGTAACTTTATATTTAACTAAAACCCTGCAACAGCTTTATTCCCTCCTAGCACTTGTTCCCTTCACTGATTTGATTGGTTAGTATGTCGGGGTGAGCCAATCAGAAGCAGAGTTGGGGGGGCGGGGGGGTAATTTCTCTGCACCCTGACAGACATTAGGACAGCAGACTGTCAGAGGGGAGAAAACAAAATGAACCTTCAAACTTTGAAAATAACTGAACTCTAACTTTAGTATCAGACTGAAGCTTCGGCCTCCAGGAAGGAGAAAACATTGCGCTACAACTTAATGGAGACAGGTGGCGGAAATTTGGTGGGAAAACACAGAGAAAATGGCGGCCGGGGCAGTTAATCAGTTTTTGTTTCATCCATCAGCGACAGAATGAAGTGTGGAGAGTTGGTTACCTAACCCAGGTAAGGGAACTCTTAGGAGCAGATGTTGTGGAGGTAAACTACATCTTCCTAATTACCTGCATTCCTCAACACCTTGTGGATTATTTGATGCAGCGCTGTTACTGATAGCTTCATAAATCAGGCTAACGGTCAGTAAAGAAGCTCTAAAGGTGAGTAAAGCCTGTGTGTAGTTACAGTAAAGAGAATCTCTATCTTAGCTAACATTCATTTCTGAAACTGCTCTTTGGTGCCGCGGATATTTTTTCACCCAACAACAACCTTTAATTATTTGCTTCTCATGGCTGATAAGATAAGAAGTGATAATTTAATAACGTGCAGTTTCTGAACACTTGATGGAAGAAAGGATGAGATGAAGTGAACAAAGATGGATGATTTAATATTCCGTAGCTCAAATCTAATCACTAACACTATTGTTAAAGCAACGTTATGTGATATATTTACTGTTTTAAATCTATGAAATGTCATCAGAGATTAAGTTAAATGGAAAAACTGTTTTCTCCGACAACAATACTACAGCCTGTATATTTTCATGTTAGAGACGTGGTGAAACACAGGTAAACGTTGGAGATGCATTTGAAAGATGGAGGCGGTTTCGTCCCAAGAAGGTTTTCAAGACTGATTTTTCAAGACTGATGTCGAGTTTATTTTCTCCTGAACAGGTGAGAGCTTCAGTTTATTAACACTGTCAACGCTCTTCATTCTCTATTCTCTCTATTCAGACTAAATCAGGTATTTTTGCTGATTCGTGTACACGAATTAAACCAAGCGAGGACACAACTAGGAGAGTATGGTTTTAATAGTTTTTAATAAAAATACACTAGCACAAGATCACACAAATATATTTGTAACCAGAAACGGTTCAGAAAGTTAACGCTGTTAGCATCTTTAGTGTAAAGTTAACAGTTTGTTTCGTTCCTTCGGTCAGTCATAAAGTGACTTACAAACCACTTTAATCTGTCCACCTTGCTTTTTCCTTCACTTTTTCCAGCTTGCCCCATTTTTAACAGTTGAATCAGTGTAAATATTGTCAACCCTAATCAGTCGCCAGGATGAAAACAGGATGAGGATGCTATAACCCAGTAAGGTGGAAACTTTGTATGCCGGGACATTAGATTGTATGAAACTGTGTGGAGATTTAGTGAACCCAGCAGTGTGGATGCATGACTGTGTGTGTGTGTGTGTGTGTGGCGTGGGTCACTGGTCAAGTCGGGTCGGTTTCCTGTTCTGATCTCTGTGGGTGCATGTTTGCAAAACTGGACCCACAATGACAAAAAAACAACAAAAAAAAACAAGCCAAAACAACACAAGCAGGAGATGAATATTTATTGAGACTGGGATTCAGCCACGTGCACAGACATTTTGAAGTGCTGTTGCTCTAACGAATGAAAATAATAACCCATACCTCTGACCCTGCCCCTATATCAGCATTACCAAGCATTAGTGTTAACATGGCATTTAAGTCAAAAATGGAAATTTACAGTTACTGACCTTTCTCATCAGTGTCATCTGTGGCTGACATCTGTAAACAAGACCAGTTGGAATGAGTGTTTATCTCAGTAGTTCCACTGATTTATACAGTATGTAGTTAGACATTAGACATGAATAACATTGTTTAGTCCATGCTCTATGTGAAGGAGTAGGTGCTGTAAAAGCTATTTTTTTTGCTGCTGCTACTGACTCTCGTTTTGAGCTTCTGGTAGCCCCAGGTGCTGACAAACAGGTGCCTGAAACAGCAAACAACACCAAACAAGAGTCAACAGCAAAGAAAAGCTGTTTGGCATTGGCAGCAAACCACATACTCAGCTCTGCTGCTTGTCCTACAAATGCATGTTCCTACAAATGTGGCACCATTTAAAAAGGAAATAACGGGATTTCCAATGGTATAAGATTTATTGCCAAGAAACATTGTTATAACAAAGAAACAATCTACCAAACACAAATTTCCTTACTTTTTGTGCGTAGTTTAGTTTCTGTGGGGTCGAACTTTGAAGGGTTGGAATAACTTATTACAACTATTCAGGATACTGTAGCTGCCATGTTTTCCGAGGCTGTAATTTAACTTTTTAGTTTGCATTTGACTGTGTAATCTTATTAGCTTCTTTTAAAATCATAATTCACTACTGAGTAGGTCTACAATTTGAATTATATCCAGAGATTTCATCTATTTCATCTTTTGTAGCCAATTGCCAGACACACACAGAAGTGTCTCAAATTACCTTAAAGTGCTCGCTGTCTTTGTTAACCAGTTGGTCTGTTCCACAGCGAGAGTCTCGATGTCTGTTCATTTTTCTGCGCGCCGCACAGAGAAATGTGCTTTGTTGAAAGTAGATATTTTCTACTTGGATCTCCCCTTTTAGACTGAATATCAATGGTTACATTCGTTTCCTTTCCTACTTTTCCCCCTTTGTTTTAGTTTTACTTACAGTTCCTAAAATGACCAGTCCACTGGTCAAACAGAGAAAGAAAGCCAAGTGAAAACCTGATGCCATCTGTGGAGGGATATTAAGAATAATGAATGTATTGTCCAGAACAGGAAATACATAATAGGTTAACATTAGACTTTAAATTAATAGGAATGAAATTGTCTTTGCTGAAGTGATGACGTGTAGTGATGTGAAGATGAGATAACAGCTTTCATGGGGGAAAACCAGTCAGGGGTTTTATATCTCATCGTAATTCTTTCTGAAGAAAAAAGAAAATCCTTGTATTAAAGAACATGGGACCTCCCCACATGCGACAGAAGGAAGTAAAAGAAATACACTACATCCTTGAGTCTTTGTTGATGCGGTCGTGTTAGTTCCGTCTCTGCATTCTTTTTCGTGTTTTGTTTGAATTCTTTCCTACAAGTTCAGATGCCATGAGTGTTTTTCAGTAGTAGCTTTGTCTTTGCCAAACAGGAGAACAACAAAACAGCCAAATGTGCAACGACTAGTTAACTCTAGGCTTTATTTAAATAAAAAATGAAAATGTAAATCTCTTCCTCTCTGTCAGTTTGTCTTTCCAAAGTTTATTAAGTGATGATGTGAAATCAATATGAGGAAACTCGTTGCAGTTATATTTTTCTGTAAACCGAACCCCAGGCATGCTGACAAACAATGACACGAGCATAGAACTTAAACCAGGAGGGTCTCAAACTCAAATTGGCCTGGGGACACATTTTACATCTTTCAGCCAAACAACAAATAAAGTCCGGAAAGCTGCTGTCTTATTATCAACCCTTTGCACGCATTTGGAAAATCTCCTGCCCCTCCTCTATGGTTTAGTGATATTCGCACATGCTCTGCAGTGAAACACAGAGAGAGATGTTCTCTGATGTGGACATGTTGGATATTTACAAGCGTGGATTAGGTAAAGCAAGAGTGAATACCAGCAGCAGGCATCCATGGCACTGGTTTTAGTATTTACATGTAAATGTGCAGAAAGAAGGAAGCTGTTACTGTTATGTACTGCTGACCAACAAGACATTTATATTTATTTAGTAAGATAAGAAAATGTTATATTTATATTAAGTGTTTCCTGCACTGGCATTTCAATAAAAAATGTGAACTGAACCATTACCAGAGTTTACAAATCACAAAGGCACGTGTTCTCATTAATGTTCATATCAGAAAACAAATAGATATGGAGAAGATACGGTTTTATACTTTTACACCAGGGTTGCACATGTTCCCTCCATTTGTAACTTTTGTTTGATGAATTAAGGTGTTGGACTTTACCTTTCAGTGTTCTCCTGTGTCCTCTCTTGACCAGGATACAGGTTGGTTTGTGACAAAAGCTGGAGTATTTTCCTTGTGAAGGCTGTTAAAAAGCAGTCATGTGCACTGAACATCAAACCCGTTATACGTAAGAAAAGTAATAATGTAATCAACCGAATGCTTGTTTAAGCAGCCAAGAAGAAGATAAGGAAGAAATCTGATGCTGACGGGCTTTCTCCAAACCTTGCATACACATGGGAACTTCTGCCTTTTTGAACAAATAAAATATGCAGACTTTTTATCCTTTTAATCAGTGGTACAGTCTTGGAATTTTGGACTCTGCTTATGTTGCTGAATTGTTTTCATAATCATAAAGTGTGTGTAAGTGTGTTTGCAGCAGGGAGGAAGTGTTTGAGGTCTGGTTTGTGTGTGTGTTTGTTTCTATTCAAACACCTGTGCCGAACAATGAATCCCACTTGATCATGAAGTGGGA